TCTAGATATTATTCCTCTGTCTGAGGTATAGCTGGCAAGAAATTTTTACTATTTTGTAGATTGTCTCTTGAGTCTACTGATTACTTTGCTGGGCAGAAATGTTTAATAAGTACTTGCTGGAGAGAGATCCTGAAATAGATGTATAGAAGCTGTTTTTACCAATTCAATATGTATATTAAAAACATTTAAATTTTCTATTTGGTGTTGGGTCTGAATTGTTTTATTTCAGTGACCATTTATTAAAGTCTAATAAATTTTTATTTGGTCATTTGTAACTTCATATCTCTTATTAATTCTTTCATTACTATTTCAAGTATCTTATTCACAAATTATCCTACTATAGGTTTTTGTCTGTGAAATTTTAATTTTAGGATTTATAACTATTACATAATTCTAGGATTTGATACATGTATACATTGTGTAATTGCCAAATTGTTAGTTAATATAGCCATCATCTCAAACATTTATTATTTTCTGGTGGTAGGAACATTTAGAAATCTCTTGCAGCTATTTGGAACTACACAATAAATTATTATTAACTGTAGTCACTGCAAAGCTATAGAACACTAGAATTTATTTCTTCTTTCTAACTATAATTTTGCACTTGACCTTAGCTAAAAGGCTGAGAAGCGATGTCTAACTGTAATTTTGTAATGCTCAGAATTGAGGGATTCTATACAATTTGATAGGAAGAGAGAGAGAGAATCCTTGCCTTGGAATTTAGGTAAGCTAATTAAAATTATATGTTGAATATCACACCCTTTCAGTGTTCGATTTGTCATTTTTTATGATACCTTAAAATTTATAAAGTCCATTAGAATTTTGTTCTTTAACATAATATTACCCAAACAATGTATCCCAATATGTAATTACTTTATTTACATTTAACTATTTTGAAAGTATTTCACAGTTATGAATTATTGTTTTAAAGCTATTAAAGTATTCAGAAAATACCATGGCAACATTTACAGTTGACCCCTTGCTTTTTCTGAAATGTTTCTCTGTAGACTTTTTCTAGAAGTGGATTTCAGAGATACACACTTTGAAAAGCATGTTAACACATTGGAAATTGGTGTGACTATGAGGAAAAGGACCAGCAGCTATATAGGGTACACAAACTAGAGTCAGGAATTGAAATCAATATGCAGAATACCCTGACATCAGAAAAGGTTGTGATCTTTATTTTCATACTCTAGTAATTGCCTATTTCCTCAGGTGCCCGGTCTTTACAAAACCTTGGTATTATTTTTGCAGAAAATACAATGAGTTCAGCTATGTTATATAAGTCCACAGATCCTTATCTGTAGAAATTTTACAACTAGATATGTTTTAGATTTCAATTTTTAGTATTTAAAAAGGGTAATACAAAGAGCAGTGGTGTATAACTGTAGTCTTAGCCATTTGATGAGGCTGAGGCAGGAGGATTGTTTGAGCTCAGGAATCCAGGGCTAGCCTGGGCAACATAGCAAGACCCTATGTCTTAAAAACAGAAAAAGAAAAAGTGACTACTGTTTTAGGTTTATTATATAATGACCCTACCAGGGTTTAGGGCAGAGTCACATAATTAGCATATTAATACGTTTGCAATAAGACAAATACATATTCATATAAGGTGATACATATATATATATGTGTGTGTGTGTGTGTGTGTGTGTGTGTGTGTGTGTGTATGTATTCAGTATTTATATATAAAGAATGTATATCTATATCTGATTGAGATAATCTCATCTCAGTTTCTGGTTTTCCTGATAAGTGAGTGAAAAATATGACTTTTTCAGTGATTGTAGTATTTTAAAGTTGTAAATATGAAATGGTGGACCTGTATACTAATTGGAGGTGAGGAAAAAGAAACCATGAAATGAAAAATTAAGAGCTATGGTCTTGCCTTTAGAACAGTGAGAGTTAATAGAGTTTCCCTCCACTTGCACTGGGATTGGAGGAAAATTTATAGAAAAGTTTCAGTTCAAAATGAGCAAGATTTATGCCAGTGAGCACAATTGGAGCCCAAGGTAACTGTCAGAGGAAATAGAGGCATGTGAGGATAGAGTGGAAAGATTGTGGAAGGTTTGAATGTGAGATGTGAAAGTTGTGACACTGTGTCAAGATTCACAAAACTTTTTTGACTAAAGAAGTGCTGCGAAAAATAGTCTTGGTAGAAAATGAATATAATAGATAAAAGTTGACATAATCATATCAAAAGGCAAAATACAACAAACTTTGTTTAAAAATCTACTTAGCTTTCATCGGTGATTTGCAGATTGGGAAACATCTTGTCCAAATATTTAGAAGTTGTTCTCTTAAGAACCGAACAGAGGAAGCTGGCTTTATAGACAGAAAGGGGTTGAAGAAAGTAGAAGCAGGGAGTGAAATCAGAGTAGTTGTCTGAAATTACTTTTCTTATATGATTAAAACAGGGAACTTCCTTAACATTCCAGCTTAGCTAAATTAGGTCTCTCTCTCTCTCTCTCTCTCTCTTTTTTTTTTTTTAAAGCTGTTTGGAATCTCTTGTTTTTTCACACTGGCCCATGTAAGAGTTTAGTTTGATTATATAGCACCTATCACAAGTGACTCCAAATCTAGTTTGGCCTGGTGTTTTGGTCCTAGTGCAGGAACTCACTCCAAAAGAATGACCTCATAAATTTCAGAAGCCAAAGATGAGTTCAAGACAGATACACTGAAAACCTAGAAAAGCAGCAGAGTTCTAGAAAAAAAGGAAAATTGAGAAGTATTTTCAAGTGGAAGAGTTTAGAATATGTGGGCTAGTGGGAAGTCTGAATTGAAATATATCATAACTGAATATAGAAGCAAAGTATGTGTTGAATATTGAAAGCTAGAATGGGAAAAAAATCACAAAATTGTAAGCTTTCATTGTACACATAGAAAAAATTACTCATTTCATTTTATAGAAGCCATGTGTCGCTCAGCTAATGCTTTGTACCATATAATGAGAGCAAGACCAAATAACTCACATGTGTGATGCTCTTGCCTTTGCATTGTGTTGTATATACCATCTCTTATACCACTATCTGTAGAGGAAACTTTGGTAGTGACTGAGGTTCCTAGAGGGATGAGGTATGCATACAGAAAGAACAGGCAGAGCTTTGAAGAATGCTCACCGGTAGGGATGGCAGCCAAAAGGACGCAGCCAGGAAGATGAATGTAGTGTCAGTAGCCAAAGCAATAGGAACTCCGAGGAAGAAACAGTTTTATAAAAATCTGTGAAGGATATGTGGTTGGACATCCTCCTAGCAGTGGGGAGGAGAAGGAGGGGAGGAATAAGAAGTGATAGATGATACACTTAAGAAGCTTGTCATGAAAGGGAGAGGGATTTGGATTGTTTTGAAGTTTCAAAGTTGGTGCCCTGGCAAACTATGAACTATTTTCTGTGCATGTGTGTGTATGTGTTATAAAACCTAAACAACTCTTAGAACCATGGAAAAGCTGACATCATAAAAATGAACAGGTTTATGTTTTTGTTTGTATGGTTCTGGGGATGAATGCTAGGCAAGCAGTGTAGCACTGAGCTGCATCTCCAGTCCCAGTGCCAGGTTTCTTTTACACCAGCACGTTTCCCTTGTGGCATATAAGCAAGATAGCAGGTGCTAGGGCAAGCTGTGGAGACCCTCAGCAGTATTGAATGTGAAAAAGCAAACAGTTTGTGATGATCTGAACTGCTCTACTCTTGGGTGGAGAGGTTATGGGATAGGTCGGTGTTTCGTAGAAATCTAGAATTACCTCACATTGTGCCCTGTTTCTGTGTGCCTTACCCCATAAGACCTTTCCTTCACTGAAACAGGTAGGCTGTTCCTGATTCCAAAGGTAAAATGTTTCTGTTGGAAAGAAGTTAAGGAGTCAGGGATTTAAAACCTCAACCATTCACCATTTGTGAAGTAATCTGAGTAGACTAATCTCTGATCTACTCTTAATCAGTGAGCTTGTTGACTGTGAGTTTAGTGGGTTTCCAGAGGGCCTACAGAACAAGGAAGAATTCTTTCAAAGGTTGTGGTCTCTCTGTTCTTAGGGTCTTCCTCAATTCCTACCCCATCTGTCTTTTCTTCTTTTGATTTCTCAAATCTTCGGGTGTACTGGTGAATTCTTACTTTGATTTTGTGAATTATTTTTTCATTCTTAAAGGTTTATACATGTTTGCCACCTCAAAAGGATTGTGATGAGGGTATGAGTAATCTTGTGATGCTGTGTTGAACTTGACATGAAAATTAAATTTAAAGCACTGCAGTCAGGATTTAGAGTCCACTTTAGAAACTGTCTTTAGGAAAAAAAAAAAAAAAGAAACTGTCTTTATTTGAATGAATATACTTTTATTAAATAAGAACTGACCATAATCTTTGGTTTCTATGTTCTTTTGAGGGTATAAATTTAACCAAATGTTTGAAATTTGTATTCCCAAAGCTATGACTCCAGGCCCATTTTGTTGGAGCCCACCTCCAACTGAGCTTTGAGTGTGTAGCCAAAGGTACTTGGAGCTATTGAAAAGGTGGGTAGGAAAATTAGCTGCTGGGAGAATGGATAGACTCAAGGTTCAATGTTGATTCTACATGGGACTGGCACTATGTAGAACAGAGAAATATTTTTTGGTTTCTAAAGCTTAGATTTATTTAACATTTCGTATGGAAATTTAATATTCCAGATATTATCCATATAAAAACAGTGCTTTATATTTTTGTTAGCTCTTAAAATACACAGTATTCAAATGTTAATAGACACATTGTTGAAGAATTATAGTTTGAACACTGAAAGGATAAAAAATTTTTATTTCTGTACTGGATAAGTTCTTACTGAAAGTGAATTTTATTAGAAAAACCAAACAGACAATTCTTAGTAATATAATAATCAAAAGAATTTCAAAAAGCTAAAAAATGTATTGAGAAGCAGGTTAAGTGTAATTAGATTTCAAGGGTATCTAATTTATTCTTGGTCCATATCTAAAGATTCTGTTATTGCAATTGCCCTTATGTTTCATTTCTTTTTTTTAATTTTAGGTCACTTTTATTCAAAACCTTGTGTTTTGTGTAGAAAGAGTTTACCGTGTACCTGACTTTGGTGTCTGGGAAAGAGGAAGCAAATATAATAATGGCAGCACAGAGCTACATTCCAGGTAATGTTCCAGTTTCTTGAGGTCTTTTTGGTTTTTGCTGTTGTTTAAATGTGTAGAATTTAAATACGAATAAAATCAAAGCTGTAGATGGAAACTATGGTTTCTTTGTTAATTTTTAACACATTATTTTTCTATGCATGATGCAAATGAAATTCACTTAAAATTAAAGCATAAAGGTTCACTCTCAGCACATAAACAGATACAGGAAAGGAGCAGGGCATCTTTCCCCACCTCCCTGGGAATCAGCACATGCATTCAGCTTTCACCATTAATTCACAGCTTGGCCTTCTTGCATTCAAATTTCCAAGCACCAGTTATATATACATGGCATGTAAAATTATAATCTTCTTCCAGATTGCAGAGTTGATTTTTACCTTAACCAGATTCTTATGCCTTTTGGTAAACTTAACATTCAGTACTTTCTGTAAGAGTTGTGATCAACATCTTGAACTGTAGTTTAGGGTTTGAATAAGCAACAGTAGCTGATGAATGATATTACTATTTTATGAGTTTTCTTTACTCTTAGGGTTTAGAAAATAGTTTTGGTGACTGAACCTTTTATATGTCCTTATTTTCTGCCAAGGTGGTTATCTTTTAACTAGTTAAATAAGTCCTATTCCTGTTTCACTAAAAGATGTTAAACTAAATATAGGAATTTACAGGTTAGCAGAGGCCATTTAAAGGAGAGGTCAGTTTGAATTATTGAGATTTAAATGAAGCAGAGAAGGAAATGCATGTTACCAACAATCTGCAGCTTTGTACTTTTTTGGACATAACAAATTAAGGTAATAGAAGGTACTTAATAAACTAAAAACTGGTTTCAGATCTGGGCTGTGTAGCCCCGAGTAGATAACCTCTACAAAAGGAAGATAATTATAGTTTTTACTTTATAGAGTTATATGAGTTCATGTTTTTTATGTGTTTGAGGGGCTGACAGTTGTAAAGACTAGAGTACTATTGTATTCATATACTTACGAACATTTTAGTAACAAAGATTGAAATGAAAAGAACTGTCAGATATCCTAGTAAACTAATATACAAATATTTTTTCATAAGTTTTGTGATTTATGTGATGCAGTTTTACATATAGAACAGGAAAGTAGTAATCAATTCAAAGATTTTGTGAGAAAGTTCAGTTCAGAAACTAAGTTCTTGCCTGGCGTGGTAGTTTATGCCTGTAATCCCCAACACTTGGGAGGCTGAAGCAGGAGGATTGCTGGGAGTTTGAGGCCAGCCTGGGTTACATAGTGAGTTCAAGACTAACCTGAACTGTGTTGTTAGACCGTGTCTCAAAACACTGAAAAACAAACAAACACACACAAAAACTAAATTTTTACAAATACTAAAAATAGTAAGATAATATTATATTTCAGCCATCTTCCAAATTAAATTCTCAGCATTCCAGATTATTAATTAAATTACAAGAAAGTGATCTGATTAAGTTAGTTTTAAAATTTTACATTTTCAATGATTGTAAGTATCATATTTCTTCCTTGCTTTTCAATAAGCATTTAATAACATGCCAGTCTGATTTCAGACTGCTATTATTTGCAATATAAAATATACCGAAAAGTGGGAGTTTTTCCTGTAAGAAATCCAGGTGTGTTGGTACTCACCTGTAATGCTAATACTTCAGGAGGCTGAGGCAGGGAGATTCTAAGTTCAATGTCAGCCTGGGTAACTTAGCAACTTAATCAAGACCTTGTGTCAGAATTTAAAAATAGAAAAAGAGAGAGCAATTATGTAACTCAGTGCTCAGTTCAATACCCTTTATTGCAAAATAAAACAGCAAACAAATAATTAACTATACCATACTCAGAAAAGTTAACACTAACCCTAGAAAGTCAGGGTGTCTGTAGTGAAAAATAGACTCAATTTTGTCTTATAACTGATACATTGTTCTTTCTTCCTTTCTTTTTCTTTTTCTTTTGTTTTGGATCTTGGGATTGAATCCAGGACCTTCACACTGAGCTACATTCCCTTTTATTTATTATTTATTTAGACAGGGTTCCAGCAAGTTGTGAAGTTGGCTAGTTTAGCTTCAAATTTAAAATTCTCCTGCTGTCAACCTTCAGAGTGCTGGAATTATAGATGTGTACTACCTCACCAAGCTGTTATATTCTTTTCTGTCTTTTGCATGCAAGATTAATCTTAACTGTAGTGGGCCAGTTTTATCAAATGGGTGAGAAATACAGTTTACCATTTAGGTTTTCATGATATGTTTTAAATGAGGTGTGATCAAAAGTTACAGTGAATGTTTAAATTTTATAAAATTTATCACTACAAAAGACACATTGTCACTAATATCTCTCAAAACACTTTCCTTTGCTTCAAACACACGCCGTTGTACATAGTGCTAGAACAGTTCTGGAAGTTCTCTTTTATGAGTCTTTATTACTATCTCAGTGTCCTGAATCAGTGTGAAACATTTACCTTTCACGATCATTTTGACCGTGAGGAAGAGCCAGAAGTTGCAAGGTTCTGGATCCAGTGAGTAAGGTGGATGAGGGCAACACCATAATGTTTTTGCAAACCTACCTTTCTTTTGGATGACAAGCAGCAACATTCATTATATTTTTAATCACACTTTGAAAAGATAGGAAAGAGGACTGAGCTACATGGGAAGACCCCTATCATTAAAAAAACTGTGGAGAGAAGGATAGGATACGTGTGTTCAAAGAAAGGGAGTACGTTTTGAGGAGGGCTAATAGCAGTGTGTCTTACGCTGTAGTAAAGTTTTAAAATTAACTTTTCCCCTAATTTTGAGCACACCTTAGACATATAGCATTGATCTTCTAATCGTTTATGGTATAAAACTTTACAGTTATGGAAAAGAACTTGAAGCTTTTTCTGAGATGTTTTTTGAGCTCACACATACACAGCCTGTTCTGGGTGTGTTACCTCTGGAGCCAACAGGACATTGTTGCGGTGTTTGTCTGGATGTCCCTCAGAGCCTCCTGCACTCATAAGCAGGGCTTTTGGAAGGCTATTGGATTATGGGGTTTAGTTCTTTCTTGCTGCTAGGAGGTGGGGTCTGGTCAGAAGAGGCAGTCACTGTGGGCATGGCCTTGAAGGGTGCATCTCCCTTCCTGGCTCCTTCCCCAAAGCTCTCTGCTGCGGGGATGCCATGAAGTGAGCAGCTGTCCTCTGCCACACCCCTCTGCCACACCCCTCTGCCACACTGTCCTGCCTTGGCAACAGCCGACTATAGATGTGAGCCAAAATAAACCTCCTCTTTTAAGATGTAGCTGTTGGGAATTGTGCTGCAGGAATGAGAAAGAGATGAAAACACACACAATTTTAAAATTTTAATTTTTATTCATGTGTACACTACAAAATGGCTATTTTCATCACAGGGAGTTGGTACATGTACATAACATATATTAATTCTTTTTGCTTACTCCTCCCTTCCCCTTTGTCTCTCTTTCCTCCATCTCTTGATCCCCTTCCCACTTGCAAAAGATGTTTTCTTGTTTCTTGTTGCCTTTTGTGCAGCTCCTCAATTTAACTTATGTTTTGGGTTTCTCACAAAAGCCATATGATATGTCGCATCACTAACATTGTCTCAAGGTGTGTTCATTTTCCTATACTTAAGTCAGACTTATCCTTCTTTATGGCATACTAGTCCTCCACCGTGTATAAATGCATTTTCTTTATCCATTCATCTGTTAACGGACATATAGGCTACTTCCAAGATTTTTTTCATTGAGTTTATTGGTACTTTTTAAGTATACAGTACGATTACATTCGTCATTGGGATCTTGTACCTTTACATGACACATCTTGGTTCTTATTTTTTCCTCATACCCCTGCCCTCCCTTCACCCCCTCTACCCTCCCCTATTTACAAAGACTTTGTTTCCATTTTCTCCTTTTCTCATATTTTTTATTGTCTCTCATTTCCTTTGGTTTTTATGAAATGTGTTTGTTATTATTTGATTTGTTTCTGATGGTCATTATTTCTTGGATAAGATAGAATCTCAGTGTTGTTTTAATTTGCCTTTCTCATGGCTGGTGATATTGAGCATGTTTTTGTGTATTAATTGACCACTTGTATTTCTTCTTCTGAGAAGTACCTATTTCAGTTGTCCATGTTTTAAATTGAATCTTTTACTTTGGAGAGGGGGGTCTAATGTTTTTGAGTTTTATATGTATTTAGATAGTAGTCCTCTAAGCCAAATATATTTTGAAACTGCAAAACAGAGTTTCTTAATGCTTGTAGACAGTGATGGCATTGTTTTTGGGGGGCAAGTATCTTTTATTTAGGAATATGTGGTAGAATGGAGGGCTGATTCAGGGCAGGGTTCAGTCACAACTCTTAGTCTACTGCTGTTATAAAATACCCTGAAATATGTTGGCCTAGATAGATCTGTTTTTTACTGCTTAATGCTATATCCTTATATTATTTTTATAATTGCAGAATGCTTGAATTAATATTCATAGGTGCTATTTCCCTTAGATGGGGTTACTTTCTTATAAGCCCATGGTAGGTTGAAGATACTGAAAGTCAAAAATGCATTTAATTACACCTAACCTGACAAATGTCACAGCACACTGTAGGATATCAGGTGTTAGCTCTGGTGTTGGCATGACTGACTGGAGCTGTGATTCATTGTCACTGCCCAGCATTGTGAGAATATCATACAGCACACCACCATCCTGAGAAAAGATCAAAATTCAAAATGTGATTTCTACTGAATACTTATCACTCCTGCATACTTGTAAAATTGAAAAATCATTGTTAAACTGTCATAAATCAGAGATTGTCTGTGGGGCTGGGGATTTAGCTCAGTGGTGCTGCTACCTGCCTTGGTGATACCTGGTACCAAAAAAAAAAAAAAAAAAAAAAAAACCCACCAAAAAAAACACCCCTAAAAATAAATGAGAGACTATCTGTAATAATACTTGCTATAAGTACTGACATATCTCTTTGACTTTTGACTTTCTCTGCTGCCTTTCCTTGTTTTAGTTCTATATATTTTCCTTAGGAGGAAGCAGAGA